CATTGTATAATAGTATTCTGGACCTGGAGCCTGTGCTGTGCATCACTAATAGGTAGGTAGAGAGAGATGATACGAAACTTAAAGTCATTTTTGAAGAGAAGATTGATTGCTATAGCATAGCCAGGAACTATAGTGGTTTTGTGAATGTGAGGAGCTAGATGATTGTAGATCTTAATGGCAGTGCCAGCTCGTGAGCTGTCAGTACCTGACCAGAGGTAAGTGTAGTGGTGGGTTTTGTATTGCTTGCTTTGAACTGATTTTTGGGATAGTTTGGTTTCTGTTAGACTAACTATGTCAAGGTTGTGCTGTATACAGTAGTGTTTTCAAGCTTCTTTTTTAATATTATTATTTAAGCCTTGCATATTGTGTGTGCTAATTGAGAGTGTTAGTGGCTGGGGTTCATTAGTGTTTGACTTTGGTTTAGGATGGGAGAGATTGAAGTTTTGTGTATTGTATATATTGGGTTGTGGAGTATTGAGGGCATGTATATCTTGTGAGCTACTCATGAGAATGCTTATTTGTATCCATTGGCATTGAGTTGTCTAATGGAGGAGTGTTTGTATTTGTGAATAATGTGTTTTCTGTAGCCATTGTTGCTGTAGTATTTGGTTCTTCTATAAGTGTTGAGGCGAATAGAGTATTTTCTGGGTAGGAGTAATGCTGGCCAGAGATGAGACCGTACTAGGAGTATTTGGACGTGAGAGTAAGGATGTACTATTAAATATGCTCCAGCTAGAAGCAGAGAGTGGAGGAAGATCTAGTAATGCCTTAGAGATTTTCTTGATTATGTAGAATTGTTTTAAAACTTTCATTGTTGGAGTAATGTCTGGTTGGTTTTGGATTGGGAGTGAAACTATAATTTTCTGTTTGGAGAGAGTGTTAATGATTTCTTCTATGTTGTCAGAAATATTAGGGAGATTTTGCATAGTAGGTGTATTGATATTATCTGATGTGGTTGAAGGACTGCTTTCAATTTAGATCCATTTAGAAGGAAGCCGAGTGAAGTAATAATATTTGCGAAGAAGTTTAGCTGTAGCTGTAAGTTGTTGTGTAGTTGTAATTGGAAGTGAGATATTAGATATTCTTTTATTTCCTCTGCTATTGGCAAAGTAGGTTTATTGGTTGGGTTGGCTTGCATTATATCTGTTGGGATCGGGAATGGGACTCGGTAGTAGGGAGGAACTTGTTTGATAAATTCTCTGGCCTCAGCATCATCTGTGATAGGGAAGTTGAATAGAAAGGTAGTTTTGATCTTGCTTATGTCTGTTGGAAGAGGTGGTTTGGTGGCAAAGAAGTCATTAGGAAGTAGTTTGAAGATGTAATATTCTCTAAGCTGGGAGACGACTTCAGCAAGTGGAACAGTAGAAGTAGCTTGGTTGAATGGAAAGAATTTGCGGACTTTGTGATTAAGCTCTTGGTAGGTAGTGGGTAGTAGTTTTTTGGGAGGTAGAAGGTCGAAGTATGAATCTGGAATTTTGGTAACTGTGTAGAAGTCTGCAAGCTTTCTCTTGTATGCAGCAAGATGTTAAAAGGAAGATCAGTGTGAAATAGGAAATAGTTGGCGGAGGCTGGCTGTAAGCTCATTATAGTGGGGGAGTGGTGGAAGTTTTGCAAAGTATGCATCAGGAAGTTCTGGGAATTTGAAGATTTTTCTTAAGCCGTTTACTACAGCTCTAGTGTGTGAACACTGTGTAATAGGAAGTTTGAATGGCAAAATTTCTAAGATTTCCTTTGGAATTTGCTTCGGTGTATCAGAAAGTTGGATAAGTTTGTTTTCAAAAGCTCTGTTGATTTGTGCTCAGATTTTCTTTGGTGTATCCTCACTAGTGTTTTTGATTTGTAGAAATCCTCTGGCATACTGAATAGCCTTGTAGATCTGTCTGTATGTAGTTTTGGAAAAATTAATATTGGAGAGGTGCTATGAGATAAGCATTTTTCTAAGCATAGAGTAGATAGTGTTGTGGGTGGAGATGTTGGTAAGTGTGATCTCGTTTTCTTTCTTGTATACTGTTAAAGCTGTGTTGAAAAGATTCATGTATTCTTTTTGGTGCGCTGGAGTAGTTTTTGGATTGCATGTGAAGGTGGTAAAGAATCTGGTATCTTGGTGTATAAACTTAAGAGCAATTGCCTCTGGTAGTTTGTATTGTATATGGTTTGTAATTAATTTGTAGCTGATAAACTCATATATGCCTATGGGGGTCTCGAGAGCCTTGGAAATTTTGTCAAAGGACCAGAGATTTGTATCAAAAGAAGTATTAATAGGTGTAGTAGTCTTGAGGTAAACCTCTGTCGCCCACTCTATATCGTCTTCTGAAGCATCAGTAGTGAGGAGTTTGAGATTGGTTTTAGTAATCTGGCTATAGGTAGGTCTGGTATTTGTCTTTTGGTTTGCTTGTATTCTATTTGAAATAGAAGTACTGCCAGTAGTAGTTTTGGTGGCTTTGTTGGAAGCTGCGGCAGGTGGAGATATGTTAGATATATTTCTGGGCCTTTTGCGGCTAGAATTGGAGTTAGGTGTGGTGTCTGCAGGGACATGGCTAAAGGTGGGTACGGTAAGTAAAGGTTGTATAATTTGGCTAGTAGAGGTACCAGGTCTAGGCAGTATAGCCTTGGTGTAAGTAGTGTTTGAGCTGTTACTGGAGTCAAGGTTCAGGGGTTTGTTAGTAGGTAGTACAGTATTAGTATTATCAGTACTTGTGCTAGTATTTGTTCTGTAATCAGATTTTGTGAAGAGTTAAGCTTTGTAAAAATTTCTGTGTAAGCCTGCTCATTATTGCTCCTGTTTGACTCATTGTCTGAGTCTAGCTCTGTAATACTGTTGTATGGAATCATGGGTAGATTGGCATTTAGTTTGGCTTTTGTGTAGGGTCTCATATTACTTTCGTATAAGTTAGTTATTGTTACAAGGTCACTACTACATGTAGATTTGGGGCGTTTGGCGTTAATGTTTATGATATTGTTTTTCTGTGTAGTGAGGTCAAATAGACAGATTGGTAGGATCCTCGTAACTGCATATCCATTGAGAAGGTAATTGGCAGGTTTAGAATTTTTCCTGATTTAGTAATATCGACAAAGAAGATAAAGTTGTCAGCATGTTCTGGAATAGAGAAGCTGACAGAAAATGTAAGTTTTGACCAGTCTTTAATAGTAATGTTTAAAAAATTTTTTGTGTGTTCTGAGTCTGAGCTTGGAGGCAGGCTGGTGGTATAAGTGTTTTTGGGATGCACAGGTTTTGCAGGCCAAGAAAAATAGTTAAAGATATAGGAAGAGCTTTCAGATACCATATTTTTGGCTGGGCCTTGAAGGTTGGTAGGGTGTGAAACTTGTTTTTTCTCACTGTTTTTTCTTAAAGCACTGTCTGTGGTTTGTTTTTGAGTATTGGAAGAGTGGGGGTCCTTAGAACTGCTTTCGCGGGAGGATTGAAAAACTACTTTTTTGCTGTTTTGAGTGTTTATTGTGATTAACTTGTCAGGGTAGAGTTTTTTGATAAAAATTGCACCTTCTTTAAGTAGAACTTGAGGTGCTGGATAACTTTATTTAAGAGCCAGATATCAAATTACTTAGTAGGTTTTTGAGAAAATGTTGTGGGAAAGTTTTTTCTTCTTGTTTCTAATTTGGTAAAGTGATCTACAGGAAGAGTTCTTCATATAGTTTGTAGCTTTTTTTTAATTAATTGATTTTCCCTGCTAGTGAATTTATATAAATTCATATATTTGTAATATTTAAATAAATGCAGTGAATTATAAAGTCGTTAAACGTTAAACAAAAATATAAATTGCAAAATTTACTTATCTGGGCAATTTACTATTAAAATCATATGATTTTAATAGTAAAATGCCTGAATAAGTAAACAAAAAAGTGTCGGTTGTTACATAGGACCTGAACGATAAGCTGCTAATATTTAGCGAGACTATCAAGTACATATCAGGAAACTTGTCTCCCGACATGCACCCGATATTCATTGGTTCAACTTGTGTTAGTCTATAATTATCATCTGCCAAGATCATTTCTAAATCATGCTGATTATTATGAATGGATCCATATGGTATAGGGTGTGAAATACCCCATTTTTAATATCTGATTCGGGGTTATGTTTTATTAAAGTTAGCATTGGAAAATTGTTGTGAATTGTTATAATATGTTTTTAAGGAGGTATTTTACATCTAAAAATCTAATGAAATTTTTTGTTTGTTTAAATTATAGTGTCTCATATCAATATATTTAGTTTATACCCGATATTTATTCAAAACTATAACTTATATAACTATTCTGTATTGGAGTTGTCTTCTGTTCCTGGTTTAACACGACATTGTCGCGCAGCTACTTATTAGAATATAATCTAATTTGAAAAACCCTAAGTTGATACAAGAATCATTATTTATATCAACAAATTGTATGTACTATTGTGTAGTTAAGATTCTACTAAAATAGTGTACCAGGAACGGAGTGATATGCAATATCACGAAGTACAGTCAGACTTCTCTAAGTGCACCCTCTATAAGTGCACACCCTCTCTAAATGCACGCTCAAGTGCCGGCCCAAATATATACTTGACCTCCATAAATGCACATTTTCTTATTATTCTCTATATGCACGTTATTAAAGTGTGGTCCCAAGGGCGTGCACTTAGAGAGGTCTGACTGTATATGGTTACTATAGCAAGTTAAGTGATGTGCGTCCGCAAAATCTCATATCTGATTGGGCAATGTGCTCAATGCAGTAAAAACGGGAATACTTGTGCTTAAACATCACGAAATGCATCATATGTACCATATTTATATCTTGTACGTACGTACGTACGTACGAGATTTGTTTACCATAAGAACGATCTTTAACAGGTTTTTATCTTGATTAAAATGCATGACGATCATTTATCTTGTTTTTATTATTTTTCTTTCAGAATTCATGAATTATGTTAAAAAGATGTTTATAAGAAAATAATAAAATATTAGTTAAAAATATTTATCTTTTGAAATAATTTTTGCAAAATGATCCGTTGATCAATAATATACATCTACACATATTCCAGGATTCTAAAAAAATAAGTCTATCATTTTTAACGAATTATGACCTCATCACCAACCCAGAGCACAAATAAAACCGTGCCAGACAAATATGATAATACAATCAGATTCCAAATAAGATCCCAATTTTTAAGAGTGTTATCCAAGATTAATCCTGTTAATGCAACTCCAAACATTCCCGAAATCACTGCAGACGTATTCCCTATTCCCCATATTACTCCTGCGTATTTTGGTGCTATATCAAGCTGTCAAAGATAATATAAATTATTTCTAAAATTTAGAATCAGAGTGATGCAACTTCATTAAAATTACCTGAACCATATGAACACCAACAAATTTAGACGACCCTATTGCACATCCAATTGCTATTAATAAGATCCCCCCTATCGGTGTTGTTGATAGATATATTGCCTGCAATTTTTTTCAAAATAATAAATTATACTAATAAAGTAATCACTTTGAATATTGAATGTCGTGGCTGAAGCTTGAAATCAGGAACCTCAATTTAAAAATATAAACCCTACAAAAATCCATTTATACTCTTTTATTATCAAAACTAAACCTAAACCCTAACCTAACTAAAATGCTCCCAAAAATTTCTAAAAATTTCATATTACAGTAAAATAATTAAATTTCAAGCTTCAGCCTCGACTTTGAATTTAAAAGTAGATATACTTTTAAATACTTACAAATAAAAGAA